GCCGGGCTCACCTTCTACAGCAGTTCCACGTCTCCTGCGTTTAAAAACACCTTGCTGCTTGTTGTAAGTATAATATTGTGGCACTTCATTGTACAACAGAGACTTGGCGAAATTGTCTCTTTCGCAAAGGCGAAAAAATGCGAGCAAGGTGGTTTGTCTCGGGTTGTTCATTCTTTCTGCCACATTTTCTGGCTGAAAGTAAACTCGCTGCCCGCCTTCCAGGTGCACGTCAAGATGGATGACTGGCGGATACCTTTCATGTATGGGAAAACTCAAAATACGCCAAACTGCCTCCGAAGAGCTTATGTAGCGGCCAGATTGATACCTTGTCACTTCATCAAATTGGTTGTTATTTCTCAGTGCTATCATGGCTTGATCACTACCTTTATTAACATATTTACAGATATATTTTATAGATTCGACACTATTACAAATTTCTACATTAATATGTGCTTGAAAAGCTTTTGACAAAACTGGAGAATACGGTACCACCCACCTATTATCTAAAATAATTTCTTGACTACGGAATCTGACAGTAGCCGTGAAACCACCTTGTGACGGTGATCTTCGCCGGTATTGCGGATACCCATTTTCCCCCGCCATAGTTAGTTCTTTGAGTGCTCTGGGGTATTTTTTTGAGCATTGCCCATCTTTCATGCACGGTGATTCCCTATTTAAGACGCCACATGGCCCGTGAACCATATGTGTTTTTATTATGTCATGTAAAATCGGATCTGCGCTATGGTCTGGAAATTCTGCACTTATGACACTGTCTATAGCGTCGGGACGAATTTTTTCTTCCAGCCACAAAAGAATGTGCGCATGGGGTAAACCACGCTTTTGCCACTCGACGCTATACATAAAACACAGAGTTGAACCGAAAACTTTCTCCTTTGTAAGTAAATTAATCAAAACTTTGAGTTTCAAATGAAAAATCCTCGCAATAATGTCATGTCTGTCGTACGACGCCTGTCCTGTGAGAAGTGCCTGACAAATCTCTGTCCACTTTGGATTCGTTGTAAATGTTATAAAAAGGTCCGGCCGGCCGTATTTACGGACGTAACAAAAAGCATCTTGCGTTTTTTCATGCATATACCGCGGACCGCCTGTGAAACTGGATGGCAAAATAACTAAACGACCCAAGTCTTCGATGTTATTATCTGATTGCATGGCGTCCCGCAAGTGCACGTATTCTTCAGCGCGTAATCGTCGCTGGTTAGTGCGAATATACACTAAACGTTCAGTTTCTATTTTTGCGTACATGTCCACAATAAATTGGCTGAACAAACCGCGAAATCGTTGCAAAAATACAAAACTGTTTTGCCTTATTTGTAAACGGTAGGAATAGTATTGTTGAGCAGATATTTTTTTTTGAAAATTAGTTGCTCTCGTAGTAGGATTCACTTGGTACAGTCCAAAATTATAGCCATCTTCACCGTGACAATAAATTAAAGGATATTGCAGGGCGTCGTAAGCTCGGTGGGTTTCCAAAATGCGTTGGAGGCGATCGTCGCGTGTACGCAACACGATATCACGCCTCTCGCACTCCTGGTCGACTAAAACAACTGCAACTTCCTCTGCGACGGGTGCATTGTGTCTTCCGCGGTGTTCACCCAGAGGACGTCTATCGGCACTTATAATAATTTTGAAATCATTGCTGCCTTGCGGAATTGACTCCAATGCAGCTTTGAATTCACGAACGTACTGGTTAACGTGATGCAACAATTCCTGAAGTTGAGCTAGAAGCTCAGTATTTAGCTGAGGAAAATTGTGACTTCTAACATTGAGCTGTTGCGTGTAATCAGATACAAAATAAATTTGGAGAAATTTGGGCTCATTTTCTGGCAGTAAAGATCCAATAAGGTGATAAACTTGACCTTGAACTTTGAAGGTTGGCATGAACGGTCCTTCCGTTATTTGTTTTGCTCCAAAGGAAGTCATCTGGAAAGCACTGTTATATGAACGAACATTATCTAAAAAATGTTTCGACTGGGGATGATCACCATTAAGGAGACTTTTAACTAAGTGTGGCGGATCTTGGAAATTTGGTAGAACAATTTTTCCATTTGAGCAGCACATTCCGTTTGTCTCATTGCTCCATTTCAGAGCATCACAAAAATTACAAATTTCTGTCATGTCACCCACAAAAGTAAAGCCAGCATAATTAATTCTAGACGAATATGTAAACCCTGATTTTTCCCTATTGTCCCAAGATAGTAATATATTTACATCGTCATATTGCATGGATTCATCAGCATCGCTATTTGTATCCCTATTTATATGGTATCGAGCTCGTTCAATTTCTAGCCGAGATTGACGCTGTTCTACTGTTTCTGTTCGTCTTAGTTCATCTATTCTTTCCCTTTCAGATGCAAGATAATTTTCGTTATTTCTTTGTACGCCTACATAGTGATGTCTAGCTATTTGTAATCGTTCTTCTCTTTGTGAGAGAGATTCAGACTCGCGCGAGAGAGCGTGACGCTCTCGATCAGCTGATAGCCGCACTTCACGGTCCGCGACGCTTTCTTGAGAACGCAAAGTCATGGTCCGAGTTCTTTGCGAACTTAAGCGCGATTCCCTTTCGGTGAAAGTCTCTGACTCGCGTGAGAGGGCGTGACGCTCTCGATCAGCTGACATTCGCACTTCACGTTCCACGATGCTCTCTTGAGACCGCAAAGTCATGGTCCGAGTTCTTTGCGAACTTAAGCGCGACTCTCTTTCAGTTAAGGTCTCTGACTCACGTGAGAGGGCGTGACGCTCTCGATCAGCTGATAGCCGCACTTCACGTTCCGCGATGCTTTCTTGAGAACGCAAAGTCATGGTCCGAGTTCTTTGCGAACTTAAGCGCGATTCTCTTTCGGTGAAAGTCTCTGACTCGCGTGAGAGGGCGTGACGCTCTCGATCAGCTGACAGCCGCACTTCACGTTCCGCGATGCTCTCTTGAGAACGCAAAGCCGCGGTTCGAGTTCTTTGCGAACTTAAACGTGACTCCCTTTCGGTAAAAGTCTCGGACTGTAGTGAGAGGGCATTACTCTCTCGAGCAGCTGAAAGCCGTACTTCGCGTTCCTCAATGCTCTCTTGAGACCGCAAAGTCGCGGTCCGTGTTCTTTGTGAACTTAAGCGTGACTCCCTTTCAGTGAAAGTTTCAGATTCACGTGAAAGAGCGACGCGCTCGCGGCTAGCAGATAACCGTGCTTCACGATCTCCTTCTGATTCCTGAGACCTACTAAGTCTCATCCTTTTCGCATTTCGACTCCGTAGCGAAAGATTTGTTTTTTTTCGTTGAGGCATTTTCAAGGAAAATATCAAAGCACAATAAAACAAACAAAATTTTAAAGAGCGGTGCGTCGTAAAATCTCTTGTGATAGCAAATCGTCTGTCCGTGGTCGCGATTTTACGAATTGGCTACACTCACAGTAACGATTAGCACTATTTAAACTCAGAAGTAGATACCTCTACTATTATCAAGTAGAATTTTTACTTCAGACTTCAAACCAATGACCAAACGAAACCAAATAAAAGCCAATACTTTTTCGACCAAATCAGAACAACGACAATTTATTCATCCAAACGAACGAAACAACCAAACGAATCAAGTCAACACACTCAAGAATTTTAAGACACCAAACGAAACCCAATCGGTAGAGGAAACACGGCCGAAGGTCATTCTCGCGCGGAAAATCTTAACACCGCCATTCAGAAAATGACGTATTTGCACAACGCCATCTATCGGATAAAGATTTCAACCTTAGTTCTATTTTTTGTCTTAAGGTGTCGTTGCAAGTACTATACGGAAATGCGTGTTGTAATATTTTACTTCTTGAACTCACTAAATTAATCATATCTTCTGATAGAGTGAACCGATTTCGATGAAACAAAAACTAAGTTATACCTCAAGTTACGTAGATTTTTTATACATAAGCATTGTTTACATTGAATTCGTAGATTTTACGTGATGCGCGCACAAACAAACATATAAACAGACAAACAGACAAACAGACAAAAATGACAAAAAATATGAAAATGGGTTCGGTTAGTTATCCTTTAACACGCTGGCTATTTTTTTTGTCAATTTCTTCAATGTACAAAAATTACTTTTCTACAGATTTATTATATGTATAGAAGACTAGCGGCCCGACCCCGCTTCGCACGGGTCCATCTATCTCGCTATCAAAGGGTCACGTTTTCCTAATCTTCCCCTCTACTTTTCTAATATTTTCTTAATAAGAACCTTCTTCTGACAGTAACAAACACAACAAAAAAGAATTAGCAAAATTGGTCCAGGTTTTGTTGAGTTATGCGCTTACCAAAACATTTTGCGATCCATTTTTATTAATTTTATTAATAGGAATCTTAAAAATCTTAAGTCCACAAAACATTCCTGAATCCTAAATCAGAACCTAGACTTAGGATCATTAAATAAATAGTTACATTTATAAAGATATCTTTGATTACGTTTCAACCCAAGCCGAAAAGTTAAAAAGAATTTCATCATATTTTACTATCTATCTATACCTCTATCTGCCTACATATATTTTAGGATTAATAAAGCTGTTAGAAACTGTACGATTACTTACCTATGTATTTAAATAAATAGATAAAAAATGTAACATCATTATCAAATTTTTACTTCTAAGATTATCAAGATAACGTGCGAATGACAATGCATCGTCTTCAGTAATAAATCTAATTATTTTAACTAGACGACCAAACTTAAATCGTTTTTTTTTATTTTCTGTAATTAATCCTAGCTAGATCGATTTATCGCCCCCCAAAAACCTATTTTAGATATTCAGATCATAAACATAATATATTTACTTACATAGGTACCTACTCATATTTATACATATACCGTGAACCGACCGATTGTGGTACGCCCAACACCTACAATAAAAGATACTAGGCAATTTGGAATTATGCCACTTTGGAGGTAGTTAAAGAAGACCTTATTTTTTGATCACTTAGTCAGCTTTATTGACGCACCTAAATGTTATTTTCAGGGTCTCTGCTCCTACATAAAGAAGGTCTGCAACCCAAGCCAGATACAGAATGGAGTCGTGATTGGCTTCGACGGCAGATATAACAGCAAAAAGTAAGTTTATGTCCTTTTATAAGTCTTGGCTTTAATGCTAAAAATGAGACTTGATCAGATAATTAAATAGATGCTAAATGCATTCATGCTACTATTTTGAAATACTTAGTCTAAATCTAAGGCTAATTAGGTTTGACTTGAGTCTATTCTTGACCTTACTAATCGTCGCAATTGTAATACTATAATATCTTCGCAAAAAATTGCTGGATGTGCTCCTAATTTATCTTGGGTTCATTTTTAAATGTACCCACACAATATAATATTGTAATAAGTATGTCAACAGATAATCCACTTCAGCTAAAAAGGTTGCTATCATATTTTAAAAAAACATTAACACGTTTTTGGCTTTGTTATCGTTATCAAAATGGATCTAAGTTTATCTTTATATCCGTAAATAAATCGGCCAGCGACCAATCAGAGTTTGCCTCGTGCATTTGTAAACGTGGCAGTTACAAATGTTCTTATCTTAAAGTAAGCGTTATCATGATGTCACTACAGGTCACATATTGACGAATATTTTTGTTTTGAAGTGTTTGTATTGTAGATAATAATGTTGGATCATGCTTGTTTTCTCTGGAGCGGTTTGACTGGTTCTAGACTATACCGAATTTTCGTAAGCTGCTTTTTAAGAACCTGTTTATGGCAGGTTTTAAAAAAACTCATTTCCTGCTCAGTCTTTACCTGTTCAGGAAAGTTAGAAACCAAGCCCAATCCACAAATAAATTAAAAAATTTACCGTTTATGTTTACTCCAAAAATCCCACTAGCGACCTCTACGCTAAGTCATCAATGTAAAATGCACTAACTGTAGCAATATGAATAAAGGTCACTTTCGAAGGATAATTAAAATTAATATCTAAATAAACTGAGATACTTGTGGAAAAGGTACTAACGACCCAATCACGACTTACTTTGTATTTATGATTGTAGCCATTCAGTAGCTTGTTTGCGTAGACGTATTATGTATTACAGAGTTTGAGTTCCTACTTATTATGACGTTTCTCCTTATAATGGTTTACTAACGACACTGTATAGGTACGAGTATTGCAGCGATTATGTATTGTGCGATCAGTTAAAGAATGTGTGTGTTTTCCTCGAAATAAATGACTTGGTGCCAACTAGTACTACTAGTGCCAAGTTTTTTTTTTGTTGCAAAAATGGAAAAATACTCTCTCCACACTTTTTTAATATTGAGTGTCACATTGCACAAAAACTGTGGACTGTACCAACTTCTGACGGGTGTCGTAAGAGCTATAAGACTTCATACAGTCTTCATACATAATCAGCGTTACCGTATTATATAATTAGTACGTACTACCTTTTACGGGCTGGTGCTAAAAATCAGCGCCGTGGACTCGTGCCTTCGTGCTCGGGCCACAGTATTAAGCTGAGCTCCAGCCTTTTGCGCTGCGACGCACTATGGGCTTTTTGTGTGTGTGTACCTGTATCCTTGTTATATTTCGTGGCGTAATAAATGATTTTTCTTTCTTTCTTTCTTTCATACTATGTGACGGAAAAGAGACAGCAACGCCGACAGGCACGCCATATCAATCATTCACAAACCTACCTACTTAGCGATCGGATTATTGTTTGGTATTTTGTTTGTGTTAGGTAACCCATAAATTAATTGTCTAATCAGTCCGTTGTACTTAATATCTTGTTACAAAATAATATCGTTTTTATTCAACGATCTCTTCTGTAAAAGTAATTTACAGCAGACAAAACACTCCATTTCTACACCGACACTTTACGCGGGTTTACAAATGTCGGTTATTAAGTGAATTCTCGGAACTTTAGCTTTATTGCTCACACGATGTACCGTTTGATACGCGCTACATTAGTCTATACACAATATCAGCAACACTCGTTAGTTGAGCTCGTTGTAAACTGACACATGCCTGCCTGTCGTCAAAACTAGTGTGGTTCTTTCCCCAAATGACCACTGCAGCTTCAACCACATTTCATATCAACAACTTTTACGGATCTTCCATATTTCGTTTTATATTCATATTATTTTATATTTATCTGAAACTTTAAAGAAGTTAGGTACGTTTGAGTTTGTTTTCGTGTTTCTTCTCAGAGTTGGAATTCAGGAAATGTCGGCCTCATCAGATTTATAATTATGTAAATAGCCATAAAACAGCATAGAAAAATAAATAATTTCTTTCATTATTTTAATGAAATATGTCCTGTGTTTGACAGAAGCCAAACCTGAGCAAAAACACGCGCCGTTTTATACCTTAACAAGGCAGACCATAAATACTGTCCCACTACATAGAAGGCAGCAATAGTAATGAACGCAATGAGTCACCGCGGCCTCGGCCCAGAGCAGGAGATGGAACGGGGGGTTTTAGTCAGTAAAAGTCTGACACTCTCTTTCGCCTAACCCTGGACGGGAGAAGTCATTTGATGATTTTCCCCTGACGAAAAAAAAAGCAGTAGTAATGAACATTAATCACCACGCTTACTCAAGGCAGATTGGTGATTTCAAACTAAGGTATAGTTAGGAAATATGAGTCCAGATTCCCTTCGGATGTTATATCATCATCATCAGCCTATAGGTGTCCACTGCTGAGTAAAGGCCTCTCATCACACGGAGAAGGTTAGAGCATTTATCAACCCGCTTGCTCAAGGCGGACGCAAACTTTATAAGTCCAAGTTTACTCACGGTGTTTTCCTAATAATTTGTCTTCACGATATGTCTAAATAATTATAGAAAGTACATATAAGTCAGAAAAAATTAGTGTTACTTGCTAGGCTTCGAATCCGCACCATTTTAGGATGTTTACCTCCATCGTATATCAGTGGTGTCTGATTAATCTTAGAAAGTACTTACATATAATTCGGAAAGAGACCCATTCCCACTGGGTTTTTAATCCACGCCTTCATATTGAAGGAGCGGGGCGCCTGGCGCAAGCCATCACGACATGTTTTTGAATCAATCTAATCTCAAGTGCTTTTTTAATATTTTCTCGTCATTAAGTAACCGTCACTCTTCATTATTTTTGTAACACAATATTGGTCGAAAATCATTTGTATCTATTTAGACAATTGGATCCAGCTTGCGCCTTTATGTGTGTTCGTATGTATGGCTAAATAGTCTAAATTGTCGTTCACAATTGCCTCCGATTCATTTGATTGTGATTAATTTATGGCTAATGTTTTTCCAATTTGATGTTCCCGGCTTCGCCATTTTTGTGCAGTACATTGCTGCACTATACTACAGTGTCACGATATTTTCTTGTTACGATTTCTATATGTCTATTATTGAGAGTCATGTCCTTACTGTTTTCTTTTGTAATAATTTAAGAAGTAACTGTGTAACGTGTCCCGGATTCGATTCCCGCACGGAACAACTCTGTGTGATCTACAATTGTTGTTCATGAAATAATGTTTCTAAAAGCACCCACGGCACAGGAGAAAATCCTAAAGTAGGGCAATGTTTTTAAAATAGAATAAAAACCATACCATGTAAATCAATGTCATCATACATATACAACAAAACTGTCGTCCTATATTCTGTCCTCTTTTAAAATGATTACGGTTTGTCCTGACTGCGCGTGTTTTTTCTTTTACGAAAACATGTCCTGACAAATTTGATGCAGATTTTCTGCAGTTTTATGCTTAACGGCACATTTAGCTCTTAATTATTATGTGTAACGGCCTACTTACGTAAGTGTTTCACGAGCAACTTCGACTAGTTTCAAGCCACGTTTGGGTCAAAAATTTATGAGTAGCATTGCCGACAACTGAAAACTGAGCATTTGAACAATGTTTTTCTTTATACAAATTTTTCTTTCTTCCAGATTCGCCGAACTAACAGCGAAGGTATTCGTCTCGTCGTCAATACCAGTGCACATGTTCAGGGAGGTAGTGGCCACGCCGCTCGTGTCCTTCGGCACCATACACTACAATGCTGTAGCTGGAGTCATGGTGACCGCCTCCCATAACCCCAGGGAGGACAACGGGTACAAAGTTTATTGGAGGAACGGATGCCAAATACTGTCGCCCCACGATGATAATGTTCTAGAGGAGATAAAACAGTGTTTAGAGTTAGTATCCACACGAATCTTGTGTATTTTTATAAACTAACAGCTCGTGTAACATTTCAAAGACGGGTACTTCGATCGTCTCATTGAACTGATAATTTTATTGGTAGCAGTGTTTTCGTTTACCAAGTTCTAACGCCCGTAGTCGCCAAAAACTGATTAATAGCTTGAAATATTACGCCGATTTTAGAAAATGAATTCATTTTTCTTTATTTGATTGGGCGGAAAATTAGCAAATGGATTACCTGATTGTAAGCATCCATGGACACCCTCAACAGCAGAGGAGCAATTGGTGACCTTTTTGGGCACTAGGGATTCGGAGATTTAGGAATTGGGAGTGGGTGTGAAGGATTGAGCCTCCGGTAACCTCACTCAAACGGCAAAAACACAACGCTGTGGTTGATTTACGCCAGTGTTCTCCAAGGCCGTATCGCTCAGGTCTAGCTGAGCCATTCATGGCGAAATTAGAACTTACAATGAACTATAATTAGGTCTATTTCTTTTTCAAATACAGTTTTTAGTGCTTGAAGTGCATACCTACCAGTAATTGAATCCCTTCTTGTAAACTTAGAAAGCTAATAAATGTTTTAACTTTCGCCTTCCATCATACTTCCAGCATACAAGACGAGCACTGGAATATCAAGGACATTCGCTCAAATCCTCTAGTGTCAGACTGTCACGATGAGGTGACCAATAAGTACATGGAGACCATCATCACCCCCAGTTCCGAAGTATCGGATGAGAACAGGAAGGCAGCCATCGATGTAGTCTACAGCGCTATGCATGGAGTCGGCTATGAATATGTTAAGAAGGCTTTTGCAACGGCCAGTTTAAAGGTTAGTTCTTTTTAAATTTTGGGTAAGAGCAGGAGAAGGAACGGCACTTTTCATCAAGAAGAGTCTCACCCTCTCGTCTTACCCTGGGCGAAAGAAGTAATTTGATAATTTCCCCCTCCTTAAAAAGAGGTAGAACCACTAAAGTTAGCACAGCCACACAGCATTTAGCCCCCTTGACCAAAAAATATTCATCGTAAAATTCTTTAAACTTTAGGTTCCTTTTTAAATATTACAGGAACCAATAAGCGTAAAACAGCAACAGGATCCGAACCCCGAGTTCCCAACAGTGACGTTCCCTAATCCAGAAGAATTAGATACCCTCAAGTTAAGCATAGAGCTGGCAGAACAGAAGAATGTTAAACTCGTGCTGGTTAACGATCCTGATGCTGATAGGCTGGCAGTTGCAGAGTTTGATGATAGGTGAGGATATATTTTGTATTTATGGTAAAAAGTGGCAAATGAGCAGACGGATTACTTGATGGTAAGCAATCAGCGCCGCCCATTAACAAAGAACACTAGCGGAGTTTTAAGTACATTGTTGGCCATATCCCCAGATAAGGGATTTGAGGGTTGCAAAATTTAGGGATTAGGGTATTGGGGAGGAGCGAGATTGGGCCCTAAGGTAAGCGTTTTGTCCCGTCGGTTTTTTTGTGAAGCCGTGGTATCAGTCCAGACGAGCCAGATCAAAGATTCTTTCATACTTTTTTTTGTTTTTTTTTTTAATTACGTTGCCCCACTAGGATTTTCAGACATTCAATTTCACATACACATGCCACCCAGACCCGAAACAACAATTTATGGATCACACAAAGTGTTGTTCCGTGCGGCAATCGAACCCGCGACACGTTGCACGGCAGCCAGTTACCCAGCCACCGCACCAACCGTGCAGTCGTTTAACTTTAAAACATAAATTCTTCTTTCAGCTCAAAATCGTGGCACATATTCACTGGTAACGAGATGGGAGCTCTACTAGGCTGGTGGCTGCTGGAACAGTACGGCAAGAGAGTTAACCATATGCCAGAATCCGAGGTGTATATCATGGCCAGTATTGTCAGCTCCAAAATGTTGAGAGCTATTATCAAAGGAAAGGGAGAGTTTGTGGAGACTCTTACTGGATTCAAGTGGATGGGTAAGTTCTGTGAAGATTTTTTTTAGGTCATATGTCATGGTCAAAGTCAATTCCAAGCAAACTTGGAGACAATCTTGAAACGTCTAAATAGAATAACAGTCTGTAAGTTTGTGGTGTAAGTTTAGATTTGAATGCGGAAGACAAAGCAAGAAATTCCAAAAGCCTGTTTTACTAACAATGTCTGGATAACCGCTATAACCTACTATTATGAATGTGAACGTTTGTGAGAATGTTTGGATGTATATTTGTTATTCATTTGTGCGAAAACGGCTGGACCCATTTGGATGAAATTTGGTATGCAGATAGGTGATACCATGGATTAACACAGTCTCCTTGTTATCAACATACCACGGGGGCGATAACTAGTATCAAACGGAATAAAAAATATACCTTGTATGAATTATGAGCTACATACATTTATATGGCGTTCAAATGAAGGTTGTTAAACGAACATTAGCATTGTCAACTTGAGAAGAGAAGTAGTTTCAATATTTCTTCTCTCTTTTCACTTGTAATAAAACTAGATTCAAGTGTACAAGTGTATTGGTTTTTACAACTATTGACTTTTCTTCTAGTTTTCGTTATGGTCTTCTTATTATATTATTCTTATTTTCTTATTCTTATTTTACTTACTGACAAATAATACAGGTAACACGACCCTCCTACTGGCTCAACAGAACAAGATGCCCCTGTTTGCGTTCGAGGAAGCGATCGGATACATGTGTGACCATCGCGTACCGGAGAAAGATGGCGTCTCTGCCGCAGTACAGGTACATTTATTTATTTATTACAGCTTCATTCACAAGAAAATTTATACAAGGTGGACTTAATGCATTGAACCTTTTTTGGGTAATGCAGAGAAGAATACGGATGGCAGATGTGTATTTATTTTATTTATATAAAAGTACTACTCTGTCAAGAAAGTACCGGGAAAAAGTCAATAATACACAAAATGTTTGTTATTCATCTAAATTTATTTTATCACCTTCAAAGTATGCTCCTTCAGAAACGATACACTTACGCCAACGAATAATCCAATCATCGAAACTTTTTTTAAACGCTGTTTCCGGAATTGAGTTCAGTGCTCGCCGCGAATTCTCCTTTATGTCTTCTAACGATTGAAAACGGGTGTCACGAAGGGGTAATTTGAGTGTGGGAAAAAGAAAGAAGTCGGCTGGAGCCATATCTGGTGAATATGGTGGCTGCTCGATGGTGTTTGTTGAGTGTTTGGACAAAAAATCGTTTACAATGATGGCCTTGTGCGAAAGCGCATTATCGTGATGCAAAATCCAAGAAATTTCTTTCCACATTTCTGGCCTTTTTCGTCGAATTTGTTCTCTTAAACGCCGCATAACGCTCAAATAATATTCTTTATTTACCATTTGACCTTCGGGCAAGAATTCTGAGTGCACAACACCGCGATAGTCAAAGAAAACAGTCAACATGACTTTGACTTTTGATCGACTTTGACGTGGTTTTTTCGGTTTTGGTTCAGTTGGAAGGCGCCATTCCGAAGCTTGTTGACTAGTTTGCATGTCAAACTCGTAAACCCACGTCTCCTCACCAGTAACAATGCGTTTCATGAATGTTGGGTCGATATTAACTCGTTCTAGCATGTCCTCAGCGACTTTCATGCCATTTAGTTTTTGAAGAAAATTCAGGTCTTTTGGGACTAGCCGAGCGGCAACACGTTTCATACCCAAATTATTTGTTAAAATGGTACGGATCGACTCGTGAGATACAGAAAGTTCGGCGGCCATCTCTCTCAAACTTGAATGAGGATTTTCAGTCACTATTTCCTTCACTTTTGCGATGTTAACTTCAGTTGCAGACGTTGATGGCCTACCAGAACGAGGCAAATCTTCCATCACATCTCGACCGCTTTTGAACGCTTTGTACCACTCATAAGCACGTGTTTTTGATAAAGTCGATTCACCGTAAGCCTTCTGTAACATTTTGAGTGCCTCCGAACACGAAATTTCATTGGCGATGCAAAATTTAAGACAAACTCTTTGTTCTATGTTTTTGTCCATTATGAAATTCGCAATACACACTAGATATTATAAAACTAAAAACAGCACTGTTTTTAATATAAATAACAGATGCAACTCAAATTCCGCGCCAAAATGGAAAACAGTTATGCCAATCTAACAACAACAAAAAAAATTAAAATTCGAATTTGGAACCATAAAAATAACATTCATTCCCGATACTTTGTTGACTGAATGTATAAGATAGCTTCTCATACTTAGTAAGAAACCTGCAGGCTTACTCTTCATTTCAATTCCGATCGATCGACATTGGAATTTTGACGTTTCGTAATCTTGAATTCAACACTAGCGCCAAATTGTTTTAATATTGTGTGGCCATTTTGGGGAACTAAATGGGATTGGGATCGGTTTTGGCTGAGCACATAACTCTACTCTTGAATTTGTTTTGACAGTTGAGTACACAGAGTACATTTTAACAATAGGAAATAGAGACCAATCTTCGATGTCAAATTGGGTAACTACTAACAGCGCCATCTGTAATCCATGTTAGACAACATTTTTATTATATATATAACCATATCTATACTATGGATGTGCATCTATAGATTGTTGGTTGTTTTTCGTTACTGCTCAACTACGTGACTAAAACGAGTAGTAGACAGTGTAATTCACTTTAAATATTTTACAATTCTTATAGTGAATTACACTATCTACTGCTACAACAAAAAGAGGTATAAATGAAACAACATATTTGATGAAAATCTAGTTTATTTGTTTTTTCTATAGTACTCGCTTAACTTTTTAGCTTTAACTTGCAATTTGTTCTCATCATCATCAACATCTTTTCTCCCAGCTAATATTATATTGATATTTTTACAGTAATTAAAAATGATAAATCTAATAACAATATTAATTAAAAAATCGATTATTTTTTCTCTATTATACATTTTATAAATGTAAAATCAACAAAACTACTAACAGCTGTATTAATGATTAGCTTTAACTATAATTTTTCTATATTTTCTTTTGTTTGATTAAATCTTGCATATTGGAAATCAGCTCTATTAACTTCTTGCTGGGAGTGCAAAGCCATCGTCGACCTGCGTATTCCCTATATTTTATATACTCAATTTCATTTTTTTCCATTAATAGGTTACAACAATCTGTACAAGTTTTAAATATTTTAGATTTAATTTTCTTCAAAAAATATCCACTTATATATTGGAGAGGTCCAACAATACGGGGATCCCTTTCTTTAATTTCTATAGGTGTAAAATTAAATTCAATAATGTTTGAAAAATCAAACGATGAGCAGGTTGACGTTGTTTCTGCATTTTCGTTGATGGTGAGAGAATACAATGCATCGCAAAAGTCTTTTTCGCAGTTTCCGCGGGTGTGGACACTGCTTATATTATTTATTAATAATGTGGTGAAAGCCGATTCGAATTGGTCGAAGGTGGGATTAGTATTGCGGCACCCTTGGCTTCTTACCGCCCCAAAGAAATTTTTCAAGGGGTCCTGATACTACTGATACTCAGTGTCCACACCCAATTGATAATGGAGGGAACCGATTGTTTTTTACCATTCGATACAAATTTCATCGATTTAAAAATTTGTACTCTCTCAATCCAAATTTGGTGATGTGCCGAGTTTGGCGTTGCTGGCCCTAGTAAGGGTTTTGCATTTCTATTTTTCTGTCGACTGCCATTCACGGAGTCAAAGATATTGTCCATGAACAGCAGTAAATCAGCGGTGTCCTTACACTCAGAGGGAAGTATGTTCTTACCTGAAAAAAAAAATGTATGACAGTTTAATCGCCTAAAGTTCTGAATTATTTTTATTTTTGCAAACTACTTCAATTGATTTCAAACACGTAACAAGTATTTTTTCAAAACGTGACTGATTATAACACTTTCGTGAGATATTAGATTTTCCGGAATAGTACATTCGCTTGTTGCATATTCTAGTTATACAATAAAACAAATATATGTATCTATCACACACACACACATATATATGTATCTATCTCGTTTTGACTCATATAAAATAAAGTCTGTTTGCTTTGCTTCTTGCACCGGCACAGCTCTGCATCACCCAAGGCTCGACTGGTAGAAAATGCCTTAGGCATTAAGTCCGCCTATGTACCCGCCTTGTGCATGAAGTTTGAATAAATAAATAAAACATACATTACCTGCCAAGTATCCCATATTAGACGCCATAGTACGACTGAATATTTGTGAGGCAAATTTAACCTTCATTTTATTAATTTTTAGAGGGTTGATATGATATTCCATTAATTTTGGAATCAACCTAATCCCTTTGTAACCAGGGTTTTCTTTGAGAAGTAAATTTAAATGCGAACATTTTGCAATTTTTGTTACACCATCTTTGGTGAATTCTAAATCTTTGCACATAAAGTTATTTCTAATTCCTTCGAGGAGATGTCATCAGTGTCATCATCATCAGGTCATAAAGTGGTACAATTTCTTGACCATTTATTAAAATTTTATTTTCTTTAGGCTCTTCACCTTTTCTCAAATAAATTCCCCTGTTCTCATTAATTATCAGTTTCAGAGCCTGTCTGTTATTAGGACCCTGGTCACATACAGTAGCAACAACTATGAACCCTGATTCTTGCAAACCTCTTATCACGTCCTTTATTTGTTGAGCTCGTTCAGGTCCCTTAGTAGCACTCGACGCGAATGTATATGATATTGCCTGCTTATAATTATAAATTAAGCCACGTAACATAAAGACTTGAGCATGATCTGCAAATTCAGTTTTCCTGTTTTGCCCATTGTCAACAAGACTTGTGATTTTATTTTTTCTCTCGTTATATGCAACATTGCTCTTCAAAGAAACTTCGTCGAACATAACAACACATAACCTTTGTTCTATTTTCATGTTGTCAGCTTTATTTTTCAATTGAGAGAAAATATTACTGTTTATCCCAGGCTTGATGTTACAAATTTGTACTAACTTAATTAGTGTTTGCTGAGCAGGCAAAATAAAAAAAATCTCAGAAATCTATATCCTTTGGGACTTTGCTTAAAAATAGATAAGGAAGCAATTTTTTCTTGTAACGTAAAACGTTGCTCCTTTTCTTTTTTGTGGTCCTCTTGACATTGCATACTAATTAATAATTTTCTTGTACTCGTACAATTTACTAGTATGTCGCATACTGCAGGGTTGGATGCAATTTGTTTCGCTGCTTTTACATTGACAGACAGTTTTTTCATTTTGCTTAACTTAATACTTGCAGCAACAAGTTTATCCTGCAGGTACTTTTCTGTATTCGTAAGGAATACTCGACTCTTAGCTTTCTTCACCGTTGTTTTTTCTCCTGTAATTATATAAATTAAATAAAGTTAATCTATTTATTCAAAACTTTTTTTAGTTATACACAAGATTTTATTTGCACAACTTACCTAGATTAAGATGCACATTCGTTTCTGAAGTACTTGGTAAAGCAGCTTCTTGCATTGTAGCTGTGAGACCTGAAATGAATAATTGCACGAATTTATAACTTTTGTATATGGCGCCACTAAAATAAAGGAAAAAAATATATAAGTATAAAATGTAAACTTGAACAAAAACAATTTGAAGTCAACAATTGCAAAAAAAATCCATAATTTGTTGGACAAACCCAAACTTATTAGTCTAACCACACTTTAAAGTGTGCTTACTACGTTATATCTACATAGTACCGAATGAATATGTTGTAGCGTAATAAGGACGGGGACTACATGAGAAAGTGCCTGGGTGACTGAGATTCATTA